TGAAGATACATCATTATCTTCAACAATAGGCATTTCAACAAAATCGTTTGAAGGAATGTTATATAAGCTATAATTTGTCGAAGAGTTAGAGAGCACTGAAATTTCAGATGTCGTTGAAGAAGTTAAACGAAATTCATTTTCTCCGTCAGTTGAAATATCCATGGCATCCTCACGACCATTTTCAGTTGATAAACTTGCAAGATCATAATCTTCATCTTCGTTCTCATCATCATCCCCATCCTCATCCAGACCCTCAGCCTCACTATCATCATCATCGACAATCATTTCTTCATTAATTAAAATCCTATAATTAAATAATTCATTATTTTTTATGTGGTAAATAATACACTAAGAAAAAAATGCTATTGAATCTATAGGACGTGTATTCGCATACGTTCAAAAGTATATGTAATTAACTTGACGCAATATGTAGTTGATTTGCTAGCACCGCTATTGAAATAAACAAAGGCAGTTTCTGTTTCAATAGCAGTGCTATCAAATCAACTACATATCGCGTCAAGTTAATTACATATACTTTTGAACGTATGTGAAAACACGTGTTATAGAATCAATAGCATTTTTTTCTCAGTGTACGTATTATCTATACTAAATAAAAGCACTTTACACAACACGAGCATATATTCCCTGGTTTCCCGGCGCGTTTTCGAGACGCAAAGTATGCCTTTACTTTAGGCATACTTTGCCTGCATACATATGCACCGGGTAACCGGGGATTACATTCTCGTCTTGTATAAAGGGGGCGCATGAAAATGTCATTGTCATTGTCCCGAATGCTCAACATCCCGAAATGTCAGCGTCCCGAATGGTCAACATTACGAAATGTCAATATCCCGAATGGACAAAATCCCAAAAAATCAATAAAATTTTCGAGATTTTGTCCATTCGGGATTTTGACTATTCGGACGTTGACCTTTCTGGACGTTTACAATTGTGACATTTCCATGCGCCCCGTATGAAGAATCATGTGTACCTTGGACGCACGCCTTTCTCGTCCTTGCTTGATTTATAGTACTCGGCTTGGACACGTACCACAAATCAAGCACGGACGAAAAATACCCGCTTTGCGCCCTCGGTGTACAATATACTGTTATATAATTAATTAAGACTCCGAATCTTAAAAACAACGACGTGCAAAGTATATTATTTTAGGAAAATTAAAATTTTGAATTAAATTTAAATTACCTAATTAATTAAATTCAAATAAAATTTATTGTAATTCATGTGCTATGAATTTAATTATGTTTATATTAATTTATAAAGTAATTATTGTTTTGCAGCTAACAAAATAATTTTTAAAGCTAAATAAGTTTATAGTAATATTCAGTTACCCCAACTAAAGTCAAATCAGATTCTGTATTTTGTCATGGTTTTGGAAGAATGTTCGCTTCGCTGACATATTTAAAGTTTTTATTGTCTTCTTTATATCTTCTGGCTAAAATTTATAATAGCTTATATTTATTATTGTTAAATGAAATTTGAATAACAATTAAAATTTTTAATTGTCAAAAGAGAATACTTTTCATAATGTTAAAATTTTATGTACAGAAAGATGTTATACTCGCAGGATTTTCAAAAAAATGTTTCAAATTGTTAAAAATAAGAAATCTGTTAATTTAAGAACTGACACTAATTCACTTAATGACATTTATAGAAATTTAATCTTGAACACCAATACGTTATAATTTAATTTGATTGATTCACCTTATGTGACTGTAGCGCTCTTTTGGTTCTTTTCTTTTTTGTACTAAAAAGGCACTCTATTGTATCGACTACTAAACCTCGACAGTTATGACTTAGATTATTTGTTTTGTGGTCAAAAACATGTGACTTGTAAGGAATGGGGATGGTTCTTCCTCCCTTTTTAATTAAGTTTTAAATGTTTTAATTAATATACACGTTCTTGTTTTGTAGTTTTATTGTTTTATAGTATTTGTGGTTATTTAACAAGAATATTTATTTGATAATGAAAGATAGAGAGTAGATTTCGAGATTTGATTGGTGAGTGAGGTTAGCTTTCTATGTTGTATGCTTGTGAAAAAGAGTGTATACATTTTTGTTAATTCACTTTTTTCGCAGATTGTTAATGCTCTGAGGAGGCTCTGCGTCGTAGAGCGAAAGGCTCAGTTTTTGAAAAAATTAAAAAAATATTTATCAGAGGAATAAAAATTATAACATCTTTCACTAAAACTTTAAAAACTGATCAACAACCTTTCCATCTTTGTCTAAATATAAATTATATATTTTATTTAATTTTTAGGCAGGACTTCTTATTTATTGCAATAGTATTTAAATTTTATTTAAAAGTTTAAATTATTTATATGAAATTTGTTAGTGCTTGATAAGACAATTTAAAGATTTATAGCACTATATTTTTAGGTACGTATTTATATTAAAAATTTTTTTTTTTTACTATTTATATTTTTTTCATAAAAAATGGATTTTTCCGACAGATGTCACCTTGTCTTCAAATTTTTATTTTTATAAAAATTATGTATACTTACATGATTTTCAAATATGTCTCACCCTGTGTCTCACAATCTCTTACAAAGTCATATCTGACAACTAATAATTATAGAAATCTTTCTAAAATTCGATTTATAATTTCATATCTGTTTCAATAAATTCTATAACCGCAATTATTACAAATCAATTTTTTTTAGTTCAAATACAAAAAAGAACGCTCAAATGGTAGTTGCTATGGTTACGCTTCTATTTTGTTTTAACAAATCAAAACGAAAAAGTTGGTAGTTAAGATTCTTATGTAAAAAATATTTCTGCGGAATGGAGGAACAAGTATTAATTGATGGAGACGATTGTTTTACAATCGTCAACAAAAGTTCCATTGTAGTTAATGAGAAATGTAGTGAATTGAAATGTGGCGCAAAAGTAAAATATTACTGGCCAGAAAGAGCCGTGCACAAGAAGGCATATATAGGTGTCATCGTTGCAATTTCAAGTAAGTTTACATTACGTAATTTATTAATATATTGATGTAGAATGTAGAAGTTGAACTTGTCTAAAAATAAAATAGAGAAAAAGGTTTAATTTATGTTAATTTTAACAAAAAATATCTTAGTGTGTTAATTATATTCATAATGTTAATTTTTAAAAATCTAACATTTTTATTAAAGTATAGTTAAATAGTAATTTGTTATTTGTGTAGCCAATGAAAAGGAGTTGAAGAAACTTCAAGCTGAAAAATTGAAAGAGGCGAAGAAAAAAAATTCTTCAAGAAAACGAAAAGCGAACACTGACAGCGACTCAGATGCTGATAAAAATCCTGAAGTCATTGCAAAGAAGGTATTTTTAAATGATATATTTTTTAAAATGTTGCAAAATAATATATATGATAAAAAGTGATGTGTTATGTTTTTTCTTATGTTATTATATTATGTTATTTATGTTTTTTGTTTTCTTTAATTGTCAGTGCTCAAACAATTTTTTTTTCATTCCCACACTTTGTCCACACTTTTGCAATACTTTTGCAATAATTAAAAAAAGGTTTAATTTGAAAATTGAAAAAAAAAATATTTTTTCAGTCCCACATTTTTGACACACTTTTGCCATACTTTGGCAATAATTGAAAAAAAGGTTTAATTTGAAAATTGAAAAAAAATGATATTTTTTCAGTTCCACATTTTTGAAACACTTTTGCCATACTTTGTCAATAATTGAAAAAAAGGTTGAATTTAAAAATTGAGAAAAATGATATTTTTTCATTCCCATACTTTTCCCATACTTTTGCCATTATTTTGTAATATAAAAAATAATAGGTTTACGTTGAAAATGGAGAAAAAATGATATTTTTTCATTCGCATACTTTTCCCATACTTTTGCCATTCTTTTGCAGCCTTATTTGATGTTAAAATATAAAATATGGGAAACGCTCATAAGCCACACTAATAATAACTAATTTGTTTTTAGAAGAAAGAAAACGATCTGAAAAGGGAGGCAAACATTCTCAGTGCAAAAGAATTTTTGAAATCTTTAGATGAAGACCGGGTGAAATCCTCTAATCTGGAAAATAAGTTGAACCTTGCTATGAGATTGATGGGAAATCTTCTTAGTTTGTTACAAGAAATAAAACAAGTAAAACATATCATTTAAATCAGTTCATATTATAATTAAAATCCCCTGCACCAAAATTGTTAAAAATGTCTCATTTAAAAACTACAATTAAACTCTTTAAATTTGTTTTATTTTAAATATACATATTTTATTTAGATTTTATTTTATATTTTCATTTTGTCAAAAATTTTTAATTAAATAAATTATTATTATTAATTATTACTAAATAATGATTATATGATGACTTATGACGATAATAATTTTTTTGAAATGAATATAGGAATTAAAAGATTCAAAAGAGGATGCTGCGTCAGATGTTGAATTGTTGGAAGAAGAAAGCTTTTCTCAAAACGCAGCCCCTCTTCATCCTGTTGAAAAAAGTAAAACTTCAGGTTCCATTCAACCATCTTCGTCATCATCGGTAGCAAATACGGACCATTTGTTTAACCCATCTTCGTCACTGCGAAAAGCTTCACCGTCTAATAAGAGACCTCAAGCTCTGCTTAATTTGGCCGAAAATTACACGAGTGGGAGTGACAGTGAAATCGAAACAAACGGAGAAAATTTCATAGAAAAAGAACCAAGTCCGATGCCATTTTCCCTATCTCTGGAGACCGAAATTCCAAACTCTGGCACTCAACAATCTTCGACATTTGCACCAGATGAAAATTATTTACCATCATCGAGCGGGAAAAATGAGGAAGAGGATGTGTATACTGTTCCCAAAAATAATGCAGTAGAAAGCGAGGTACAGTCACAGTAATTTAATATTGAAAATAATTTAATTCACAGTTCACAGAGTTTTTTAAGTTTCAATTTCGAATTTATTTTTATTAAGGGGTTATGCCACTCTAGAGACCGAAAAAATAGGTGTTTTATGTGAATTTTTTTTAGAAAAACCATAAAGTCAATTAAAAATATAATATAAGAAGTTTATTATACATCTTTTTAGGTGTAAAAAAATAATTTCTTATAAATATTTCTTGAAGAATGGTGGCGCTGTAGCGGTCGTCCTTCGACTCCTCTATGGTTCAAGGGGTACGTGGCCGAACTAACTGCTCCTGTAAATTTTGAAATATCTTGAGTATCTAAATTTTTTTTTATTATATATTACAATAGCTAAAGTAACACGTAGGATTTTTTCGATATATTGATTCATGATCAAATGGCGCACTTCTAAAGTTAAACTTTCTAATTTCGACTAAAAAACCATCAGTTAATAGTTAATAACAAATGAACTATATAGAATAAAAAAAAAATCCTACGTGATACCTTAAAAAATGTATTTTTAAAGATGTGTGTCAAATTTGAACCTAATCGGTTGGAAATTGTACGAGTTGTTGGTTCGGCCAACTCGAAAAATGTAGTTTGGAGATAAACGCGTTTAAAGTTTTAAGTTGTAAAAAACTTAAATAATTTCACAATACCTTTAATCTGCAATGCCTGCACCATATAATTGACCACTATAGTCTAGCAAGTAACTAGCGCCTTTGAAAACATCTGCCGTATACCTGCTGTAGATCCTTCAAAGATCACCCCCCGTAGAACTGACAAAATGAGCTCGCCGCGTACCGTGCAGCCTTGCAAGGAACTTCGAAAATAAATTATTTAGAGATTTTTCCGAGCCATAATCCTGCAATATGTTATTTCTGAGACCCTAAGGAACTATTTAAAGCAAAAAAAAAAAGCGATTTTTTGAAAATCCTAGAGTGGCATAACCCCTTAATTAACATATAGTAAATGTAAAAAATAGTTATCATATATAATTCTTTTTATTTATATTGGGGATAGTAAAACAAATGAAATAATAAATTATGAATAACTTTCAGGACATTGAATTAATTTCAAAAAGCGGAATTTACATTAAGAAAAAGGATTTGAAAGAAGCCAAAAACGGTTGCACATCACAAAGGCCTTTAGCACGTGCGTTGCTCTGTTTAGTTTTCAAGGAGGACGCTTTAAAAACGCGAACTCTACTTGGAAAGGGAAAAAAGAAACGTCTTCCAATTGATGGTGTTGAAAAGGGAAAACCAGGGAAGAAATGTCTGCCAATCGAAGGAGTTCAGACTATTTTGAGTAAATTCTTTTGAGAAATCATCAGCTGTTGAATTTTAACTTTTATTGACTGCTCTCTAAAACTGAATGAGTGAAATTTCAGTAAATATAAGTGAAAATCTTTTAAATTTTCAGTGTCTCTTCTCATGATTTCAATCAGTGAGACTTTAGTCATTTTTCACTGATTTCCAATGAAATTTCACTGATTGAAATCGTGAGAACCGCTGAAAATCCGTGGGTTTTAAATGATTTTGTTTTAGAGAGTGTTCAAATTGACAGTTAACTCTGGAGATTTTTTGTAGGGCTGTAGTTCAGCTGATTCTGATTATCCAAAGTTCAAAAAAAATTCAATTTAATAATATTTTATAGATTTATATACTATAAATTTTAATGATATTCGAATTGTTAAATTTTATACTACAAAATTATAAATTAGAATTTTCATTTTAATATTTTTTGAAATGTTAATTTTTGTTCTCGAAAATTTTATAAACAAAGTTCAGTTTAGGCGAATTCAGTTTTTACCTTTTGTAATTAATTAAAAATTTTGTTATTATTGACTGGTTAAAAATAACTAAAAAGTTCAATATTAGGTATTGAAATTGTATTTTTAGTAGGTCTATCAGTGAAAAATTACTTAAAATCGTTTTTAAATAATATTTAATTAAACTTCACTAATTGAATATGTGAGAAGTGAATCACTCAAAAACCAGTAGAAATTCATTGATTCAGTTTTAAGAGTATGAACTTAAAATTTATTATTTAAAATTTCAGAATACGTTCAACTCACAGCAAAAAAAGGCTCACAATCAGTGGAAACCTATGGAGGAAAAGCTAATAAAGGACAGTCTGCGATCCAAGCTCTTCGAATTTCAAAATAAAAATACAACTATTGATCAATAATTGTATATTAATTTAGAAATGATGCGTTATTTATTTATTTTTTATTAATTTTGCTTCCGTTAATTTAAAATTTGTTATTGACTATTTTATATATAGTTAATACCAATTTAATTACTTCCTTGTTATTTACAAATTTATCTATTGTATTTAAATAACTTGAAAAAATTATATTCTCTTAAGAAATCAACCTGAAAATAGCTTGTTATTAATTATACAACTTAAATGTCATCAAAGAAAAAATAAGATTACAACTAAAAAAATTGACTAAAACTGAGTTAGGAATAAAATTTTCCATTATAAAAATATAAATTTTTAATTTTTGATGATGTCAATTTGACATTTGTAGAGAAATATTAACCTGGAATCATGTTACAATCTGTTGTTGATGTTTAAACACTCTTTACAGGGTTCAAAATACCTTTAATATTGCTTTTCGAAACTTTCGCAAGTTTTTAGAAAAACTAACGTTAAACTAACGTTATACTAACGTTAGTCGCTAACGTTAATCTAACGTTAGTCACTAACGTTAATCTAACGTTAGTCACTAACGTTAAACTAACGTTAATTTTTTTACCTGGGTTTTTAAAAACTTATTTTAAAATAAGTCGGAAATATTGACATTTATTTAAAGAAGTCGAAAAATTAGAGATTGTCATTAAAAAAATAAATAAATAGTCAGTTTTTAAAACATTTTTTAATATTTTTTCTACGAATAACAAAAATAATTTCTCAATTTATTTCTCACATTTACAGACTTATTTTATTTTTTATTTTTAAAATCTTCTGGCAAATAAAAAATATTTATAATATTTTAATGAAATACATAAATCATGTATTTAATATTGGAGTTTTTGTTTGAATCTGAATTGAGAATTAGAAAAGAATTAGAATTGAATTTCTTGATTAGTATTAATTTTCTTTTCTAAAATTTTTCTTTTCTTCAGAATCTGGTCGCGAATAAAACTTGTTTATAATATTTTCATTAAATATACACAATTTATGTATTGAATACAGGAATTGTTACATCATTTACATTTTCTACAGGATTTAAAGATCCTGAAGTTTGTCTGTTGTTATTAATTTCCTCTTCTGCGGTTTTCCTTTTTTTTAGTTGTGGCTCATTTTGTGATTCCTTGAACGCAAGTTTGATCGGTGTTTTTAACGTGAAATGTTCGGATTCTTTTGATTTAATACATGGCAAAAGTATTTTTTCATTTTTTGCAGTTGTAAATTGATGTGTTGATGATTCGGGTTCCTTTAATTGATCTAGTTCATCAATTACACTAAGCTACTGCTCGGTTAATTTGAAATTGTCAAAAAACTGATCATAATCTGCTGCTGTTGCAAGTGACTGATCTTTGTTTTCATTGATTTTTTTAGCTGAACATATTACCTTACTAGTAGATGGTTTAGAATTCTTATCGGATCCAGCTGCATGTGTTATGCTTTTGAAAATTTTTTCCCTATTTTTCATAGACTTTTCGACTTCCCTGGCGGATTCGATTTACCTAAAATCGACCCAGCTGGGTCGAATCTAAGTCGAATCTAAGTCGAATTTAGGTAATTATCAAAAAAAAGCTTTAAATTGATGAAAATTTATAAAAATTAGTATTGTGAGGTTAAATGAACATTCATAGAGTTAATTTTTGTAAGAATTTTAATTATTAACGTGATAAATAATAAATAATTACTTGATATGTGCAAGTGGTAACTGTAGATTTTAACTCGTTGTCAGTTTTCATAATATTTTCAGAAATTAGTGTAAAATGTGTGAAAAAATAATTTATATTTAATAGAAATTGCAAATTTTATTAAATTATTTTATTATTTAACAATCACATTTCATAATAATTGCAATTTAATTAAAAAATAACAGTTTTCTTAAAAGTGACAAGAACTCTATTATACCGACCACACACGGAACAGCGGAACGCGCGCCAAGATTTGAAAAGAGTTACAAATTTTAAACATTCATTAAATAGAAAATATGCAATTTTTTTCTTTATTTATAAAAAAAACTTTAGAATTTTGTTAAAATAATAAAAATTAAGCTGATATATTTTTCTTAAATTTTTACTTATAACTTTTTAAAAAATTCTTAAATAAAAGATCAAAAAATTTAGTTAAATTTGTATTTTGCCATCATAATTTTTTAGACATAAAAATAAGAAAAATTTACATTAAAACTTATTTAACAATTACATTTTTTTAACAAAATTCTTTTTTTTTTTAAAAAAAAAGTTGCAGATTTTTTATTTCATATTCACAATTCTTTAATGAAATTGTTTTTTAATACAAGTTATAAAAAAATTAATCATTTATTTATACTAATGCTAATAATCACTAATTTTAAGTAATAGGATAGCTGGAAATTTGTGCTCCCTGCATGCTGCTGCCATCTAACGGCGTCTGCAACTAATATAGGGCGATAGTTAAAAGTAAAGAAATAGTGATTATTAGTATTAATATAAGTAAATTGGTATAAATAAATGATTAATTCGGCATTTCTGAGAAAATTTTTATAAAATGATTATCTTTTATGGTTAATCAAATATATTTAATTAATGAAATTAAGATAATAATGAAATAGTTGTAATTAACAATTTGAATTTTCCCGCCAGAAGATCATGTGCATTCATATTCGCGCACTTTTACCGTGTGTGGTCGGTATAATAGAGTTCTTGTCACTTTTAAGAAAACTGTTATTTTTTAATTAAATTGCAATTATTATGAAATGTGATTGTTAAATAATAAAATAATTTAATAAAATTTGCAATTTCTATTAAATATAAATTATTTTTTCACACATTTTACACTAATTTCTGAAAATATTATGAAAACTGACAACGAGTTAAAATCTACAGTTACCACTTGCACATATCAAGTAATTATTTATTATTTATCACGTTAATAATTAAAATTCTTACAAAAATTAACTCTATGAATGTTCATTTAACCTCACAATACTAATTTTTATAAATTTTCATCAATTTAAAGCTTTTTTTTGATAATTACCTAAATTCGACTTAGATTCGACTTAGATTCGACCCAGCTGGGTCGATTTTAGGTAAATCGAATCCGCCAGGGTTAACCTATAAATATGTAATTTTTTATTATTGTATTATTGAAAAATAAGATATTTAATTACAATATAAGTATTATTTTGTTACCTAATATAGAAAATAAAATCTAGATATATTTAAATTTGAATTAATTGTAAACTAGCGATGTATTCCTCGCTCGCTAACACTCGCTCGGATAAAATTGTACTTATTGTTGTTTACTTATTGTAGTTTATGTATATTATATATATAATTTATGTTTTAAATTAATATCTTATTAATATTGTATAAAATTTATCTTAAAATTGAAAAAAGATGTTACATAAAAATAGTTTGTAAGATTCTCCAAAAGCATATATGCAAAGTATTTTGTCGGTGTCGTTTTTCGAAATTTGTTAACTTAATATAATAGAAGATGTTTCGTTTTAAATTAAGAAATGTTAAAATTATTAAGTTAAAAACATTTGATTTTAATGACACTTAAAATTAGACACAATATTATAGGTTACTAACTAAAAATTGAAAAAACAACAATAAATAATAAAAAATAATAATAAAAAATTGAAAAAATCAAAAAATTCTTAAAAAATTGCAAAATAGCCCTTTTTCGGGATAAAATTGCAAAATAACCCTTTTTCGGGTTAAAATTGAAAAATAACCCTTTTTCGGGTTAAAATT